GACACCTTGCTGTAAAAGACGTAATAGGATTGGTTCATGTCGAACTCCGGAACTGGTTTCCACGACAACGTGACGTAATTGAAACTGCTCCCAATTGCAGACAGAGATTTCGGACAACCTACGGGACGAAGCTCCACCAGAACTGTCGCTCTATTGTATTCATTGGAGATCAGTTCCACCTCCAGAGACATCTCAGCTCGATAAGACTTATCCCTCAGCTCTATTTCCACCATATGCTGGTACAGACCTCGATGATCTGGCATGAAGGTCACCCTGTGCTCCTTATAATTAATCTTTGTTGTCACCGATGTCTTATTGAGCTTTATTGAATTCAAGAGATCTGGAAACGCCACGACACACAGTTGAAATTTGATGTAGTCGGAGCTGCTTGGGTCAAAGAAGACAGTCTTCGGCTCCTTCTCCTCCTTTTTCCCTGAGCAGAGCTTTGGTTTACCTGCGAATGTTAGAATCTTTTTATTTATTTATTTTAAAAAAATATGATTTAAACAGCGGAAAAACATTTCTGGACAACCTGAACAGATGGGTGGTGGGGAAACATTGATGCCTGTACTACCTGGAGGTGTCACCTGTTACTCAGAAATTGACGTGTAATGACCCCCCCTCCCCCGTGTTCACGATCACGAGCTGCCGTTGCACATTCTGTCATACCCAGGCCAGCCTATGTCTTAATGGTGTCCCCCCACGTTTCTCTTTGTCTACCCCTTGATCTCCCAGTGGAGAAACACCAGGGTGACAATAATAATATTACAGGTTTATTGATAGCATCCGATCGAGCGAAGAAATGATTGGAGAGCCATGATCGCCTATGTCTATTTCAGGTTTGGCACTTTATGATGATGACAACAATGACAATAATGATAACAACTAAAATAGATACACATCGACACCAAGGCAGCCACAAGAGAGAAAAAAACGAGCCTCAAGAGAGAAAAAAACGTGGACCTGCCGGGGCTGCCCTCTAATCATCTAAAAAAAAAAAAGGTTAGGATGCAGTCATACTTGTTCAACACTGTCCAAAGAAGGAGACCAACAATTAAC